CTCAGTTTATGGCCATACCACCCTGAATGCACCCCATCTTGTCTGATCTTGGAAGCTGAGCAGAGTCTGGCCTGGTTGCTACTTGGATGGGAGAAATCCCTATTCTTCATGTCACTCCAGCCCTTGGGTTGGAAATTAATTCTAGATTCCTCACCTTGATTTACTTCCTCCCAGGTATTAAAAAAATCCTTTATCTTTCCAGCAGGTCCAGGACAGTCTATCTCATGGAAGTTATCCAGAGCCAGCAGGCCTCTCTCCCTCTCTAGCCCCCAACTCCTGCTTTCCCACCCACGGCACACAAATGCATATGGCGTACGGATTGGACTGCTGCTCCCCTGGCAAATGCAAAATTGCTCTCTGGGGTAGCTAGACCTGGTCTGGGCTGCCTGCCTTTGTCCTGCTGGGATACTCTCTGTCCTGGGCAGGTGTGAACACAAGCCTCCCGGGCTCCAGCTCCTGCTTCACTCTGCTGCTACTTCTCTTGATGCAGCCTTTGAAGGGGCCTTGCTCACCTTTGTGATGCTGCTGTCAACCAGACTGTAGCTTTCCTTCTTCCTCTACCTGGGCCCCCAGAATCTATCCTATTGCTGAGAACACAGTTTCCTCATTACCTCCTCTTTAATGGTCTTTCCTTAAAGAGGAACCTGGTGATTTGATTTCTCTTGCTTTTCCTCTGGTTGGTTGTTGTATGATGCTTTCTTCCAGACAATTCACTTCCAGGACAAGACACACAGCATCCTGCATGAAAACCTCTCTTGGACAGCATTCTAAATACTCAACAATCCTGGGCCTTTTTGCCCCAGAAACACAACTGGGACTCTGGCAGATTCAGAAATAAATTAATTGCTTCCTTTTATGGCTTTGGTTGCTTAGTTGCACTTTCTCTGGTCATATCCCCTCCCAATCTAGAAACACTTCAGTGGCTTCCTAGTGCCTTGGACTATAATCCAGAGTGATGAGCCTTCCCAGGCCATGCAGCCCAGCCCCTGCCCGCCACTCCTACCTCCTCCCACAACACTCACTCTGCTCGTGTCACACTGGGTTCCCTTCCGTTCCTCAAATGTGCCAAGCTCTTTCCTACCCTGGGACCTTTGTATTTGTTATTAGGTCTGTCTGGAACACTCTTTTCTGTCCTCCCCACACGGCTGACTTCCTCATCCATCAGGTTGTAGAATCAGAGAGGCCTTGCCTGACCACTCCATCCAAGGAGGCTGTCGCTGGCCTCTGCTAGGTGGCTCTTTACCTCACCCTGCTTCTTTCCTTCACAGGGTTTATGACATCATGCGACTAACCTGTTATTTTTTTTGCTTGTTTATTGTTGGCTCCTTTTCCCTGATCCCAGCCAAAATACCATAGACTGGAGAGCTCATAAACAACAGAGAGTTATTTTTCATGTTACTGGAGGCTGGGAAGTCCAAGATCAAGGTGCCAGCAGATTCGGTGTCTGGCAAGGGCCAGTTTCTTGATTCATATATGGTGTCTTCTTATTATGTCCTTATGTGGTGGAAGGGGCAAAAGAACTCCCTTGGGCCTCTTGTAGAAAGTGTACTAACCCTGTTCATAAGGGCTCTGCTCTTATGATCCAATCTCCTAGAGGTCTCACTTCTTAATATCACCACCTTAGAGTTAGGATTTTAACATATGAATTTTGTGGGGACACAAACGTTCAGATCATACCAGGCAGGGACTGGCCTGTTTTGTTCACTGTTGTATCCTCAGCACCTAGTATCTACTGTGTGCTAAACACTGTGATCCAAGTTCCTGCTCTCACAGAGCTTATTTGCTAGTGGAGGAGACAGACAAAAGTCATTTAAACAAATGAATGATATACTTTCAAATATTGATGAGTACTATAATAAATAAAGCAGTATTAAGAGATAAAATGTGTCTCAGGGCATGTGGGGGTGGGTGGGTAGATAGTAGTAATTGGAGACGGCCTATCCAGAGGGGTGACATTAACACAGAGAACAGATTGCCAGGATGGAGCAGATCTTTGAAGATACAGGGGAATAGCAGGTGTAAGGGCCATGAGGCAGCAGCCAGCTTGGTGGATTGAGGAATGGAAGGGAAGCTGGTGTGGTTAGAGCAGAGTGAGCCAAGGGAGAGAAGGGCAGGAAATGAGGCTAGAGAGAGGGAGTGGGGCAAGGCAGGTCAGGTAAACAGTTTGGATTTTCTTTTCAGTGTGATAGGGACACCTCTGAACATCCATATTCAGTTACCAAAGCTCTCATACCATCTCATTTGATCCTCACAAAAACCTATGACACCTAGCACTCAGGGAGGCTGAGGCGGGCGGATTGCTCGAGGTCAGGAGTTCAAAACCAGCCTGAGCAAGAGTGAGACCCCGTCTCTACTATAAACAGAAACAAATTAATTGGCCAACTAATATATATAGAAAAAATTAGCTGCGCATGGTGGCACATGCCTGTAGTCCCAGCTACTTGGGAGGCCGAGGCAGCAGGATTGTTTGAGCCCAGGAGTTTGAGGTTGCTGTGAGCTAGGCTGATGGCACGGCACTCACTCTAGCCTGGGCAACAAAGTGAGACTCTGTCTCAAAAAAAAAATAAAGATAAAAATAAAAAATAAAAAAAAAAAGAACCTATGACATAGTTAGGACTGATAACAGTATTAACTCCATTTTACCAAGAAGGAAACTAAAGTTTTGCTACATTAGAAAACTTATTGTAAGTCATACAGTTCAAACAGGATTCTCTGACTCTAAATCAATGTTTTTTCACTGTGGCTGTGTGTTGAAATCCTCCAGGGAGCTCTATAAAATACCTATGTCTGGGACCCACTCCCAGAAATTGGATTTAAGAGATTTGGGTGTGGCCCAGGAGGATTATTAAAGCTCTTCAGGTGATTCTAATGTGGCTGAGAACCACTGCTCCCAATCCCCCTGCTCCAGTCTCCCTCTGTAACAGGGACTTTCTGCTAAGCTGCCGATTAAAATCATGGGAGGAGCTTCTAAGAATTACTGAGGCCCAGACTCCACCCTAGTCTCCAAAATCAGAATCTCTAGGGGCTGGGGCTCAGGAATTGGCTTATTTTAAAAGCACCTCATTTGCCTGTCTGCTTTGGAGTGTCACACATTTATTTTTTCGATTTTCCTGTCTGCTGCTATATCCTCACTTGTTCTTGGATTTTATGCCTTTTTTATTCCTTTCCTGCCATTTTCATAGGATTTCAGGAAGGAGCAGATTTAAATGGGTGTATTCAATCTACCCTGTTTAACTGAAAGTCTGCTAAGTTAAAATTTTTAAAAATTTAAATATTTGATTTTAATATAAAAGCTTACACATTTATTGTACAAAATTCAAATACAGTATTACAAAATGGCATGGAGTGTAAACTGAAAGTACTCTCACCTCCTCTATTCCCATTCCTAAGGCTTAACTGCTATCCTGCTGGTAACAATTTCATCATTAAATTTAATGTTCAATTAAAGTAACCACAGTGTTTTTAATATGTTTATTCTCTTTTCTCTCTGTGTGGTTTTAGATTTTCAATTTTTATTTTAAATATCTTTGTATCTTTACTGTATTCTCCATATTTATGGTTTTTTACATGACTTTTTGTGCACCTGTGCTGCTTCCCAACACTCTTCTCCTGGGGACCCGCCCATTCAACCTTTAATTCCCAGCCTTCAAGTCAATTATTAGTTTCCAGAGCATTTCAAAATCTCCTGAGCAAAATTAATGCTCCCTTCTTTGTGTTCCTACACCACTTTGTTCATACCTCTATTTTAATACTTCTCACACCAATTGGAAGTTATTAATCTTCTTATATTACTGCCTATAAATTGCAAACTGGAGATGGTGGGTGCTGTATTATTCAACTCCCTCCTGCTGCTATCTCTGTGCTGCAATTATATTCTCCCAGTTTGTGGCTTGTCTTATGACACCTTTCAATAAAGAGAAGGTCTTAAATTTAATGTAGTCCAAATTTGTTGAAGTTTTCTTTACATTTTGTGCTTATGGCACTTAATAAACCCTACCCTGGGATCATAAGGATGTTTCCCTTTATTTTATTCTAAAAGTTCTAATTTTAAGACTTTAATTTCCCTTTTAAAATCTTTAATCCACCTGGAATTAGTTTTTGCACACGGGATCCAACAGATAATTGGTTGATCCAGCCCACATACGGAATAGTCTATCTTTCCCCCATTGCTCTTTAATTCCAGCCCTGTCATACCTCAGGATTTCACAGGTGCCTGGATCTGTTTCTGGGTTCTCCAGCTGATTCCATTTCTCCCCTCTGCCTAGTCCTATACCAATATCACAGGTTCTTAATTTTTTACAGCTTTATAATACATGTTGATATGTGTAAAAGCAACTCGTTGGAACACAATCTTCTTCCTCAAGAGTGTTTTGGCTATGCTTTGTCCTCTGTTTTTCCATACACATTTTAGTTAGTAAAGGTCCAGATTAGCTTGTAAAATAAAGGTCCGGAAAAAAAAAATACTGCTGGAAATTTGAATGAAATTGCATTGAACCGGATAGATGAATTCCAGCCGCCCCGACCCTGTTCCCTCCCTCACGAAGGGAAAAGCTTCAAGAGACGTTTACAGAATGAATGAATGCCTGACAGATGTCTCCGAAGTACATCTTATAAGTCAACATTCGATAAATACAGGTCAGTGAATGAATGGATGACGGCCAACGATAACTGAGATTAGCCTGCATATTCTTACCGTTCAGCAACTCTAAGTTTCTTCTTCGCCTACTTGTTCTTATACCTTATTTAAAATCTGCACATACACAACTCCATCCTTCTCTAAACACAAACCTCTGAGCTATCTGGAGTGACTCCTGAAGAGAAGTTTTCATTACGAGCCCGCGACCGCGGCCCAGGCAGAGACTGAGGCACCTGGCAGGGTCCGAGGTCCCCCACCGGCCCGCGCCCACCGAGCGGCGCGTCTCCCGCCGAGCGTCCGCGGCCCGAGGGACCGAGGACTACAAGTCCCGGCAGGCCGCGCGCCTCGGCCGCGCCGAGCGAGGTCGGGTGGCGGAGCAGCGCACCGCGACCAGCGAATTCCCGCTACCCGGCTGCGGCGGGGAGCCAGCGCGGCGGCCCTGCTTCTCTCGGGGTGAGTAGTGGCGGCTCGCCGGAGGCCGGCGCGGAGCCCGGACGAAGCTGGCCGCCAGGGCCGCACGGCGCATGTTGCGCGGGGGTGCGAGTGTGGACACGCCGGGCGCCGGCCTCTGCTCCGGCTCTGCAGCCCCCGGGGGAGGCAGGAGGCAACTCTCTCGCCCCGGTGACCTTGTCACCCCAGCCTGGCGCGCGGCCACGTGGCTCAGGTGACTCGCAGTGCCCCGCCCCCATCCCTCTCATCCCTCCCGCTCCCCGCAGTGACTCTCTAGCTTGGCGCTCCAGTGGGCTTTAGTGAGGACCGTCCACTTGGGTGGCATAGTGTGGCGATCACACGAGTAGGTGTGGTTGGAGGAGGGCCGCAGGTGGCTCACCCTGACGCCTTTACCCTCAAGGTGGCTTTGTGGGCTCCCAGGCAGAGGCAGCGGGGGCAGGAGCCTGGTCTGAGCAAGAGTAGGGAGCGACGCACATATCCCAGCCTTCCACTTAGGCTTTCAACGACATGCCCCAGCCCACAACTTACCTCTGGCACCTTGCAGGGCCGTGCGCTTCTCGATTGTACAATAAATGTGTGCTGACGACAGTGGGTGTATGGAGAGCAGCCTTTAGACACCTAGTACAGCTAGCTCTCTCCCAGGGTGGCGTTTACTTTCTATTAATATTATACTAACTAGGAAGTCATTCAACAAGTACTTATTGATTACCTCCGTGGTGCTTGGCACTTAGTGGGTGCTCTAGAAATAATTGCAGTGTTGAAGTAAATTAGACTTTGTGCCTTCACAAGTTTTCTTTAAGAATTTTCTTATTGCAGTGGTTCTCAAACTTTAGCGTGCACAAGAATCACCTGGAGGGCTTGTTTCAACACGGAATGCTGGATCCCCATCCCCAGAGTTTTTGATTCAGTAATTCCAGTATGGGAACCAAGAATTTGCATTGCTAACATGTGCCTAGGGGATGTGGACACTGTTGGTCTGGGGACTAAACTTTGAGTACCACTGTTTTATAGGAAAAAATCCTGCAAACTTAAAGCACCAACTCTTCACACCTGATTATGGGTCTTTCCTTATTTGCCAGTTTTACTTTTGTAGTTAATGCAACGTGCATATTACTTTGTACACTGATTCCCCTCATGTTTATGTACAGGTTTACATGTAGTCTACACTTGTCATTTTTCTTGGTTATGTCATATTCTATTATCATCTCATCATTAGTTGGCCATTTCTCAACAGGCCTTATGGATGTGAGATTTGACCTCTGCTAAGACAGTTCGCCTTTTATTCCTTTTTTTTTTTTGAGACAGAGTCTCGCTTTGTTGCCCAGGCTAGAGCGAGTGCCGTGGCATCAGCCTAGCTCACAGCAACCTCAAACTCCTGGGCTCAAGCAATCCTACTGCCTCAGCCTCCTGAGTAGCTGGGACTAAGGCATTCGCCACCATGCCTGGCTAATTTTTTCTATATATATTAGTTGGCCAATTAATTTGTTTCTATTTATAGTAGAGACAGGGTCTCGCTCTTGCTCAGGCTGGTTTTGAACTCCTGACCTCGAGCAATCTGCCCGCCTCGGCCTCCCAGAGTGCTAGGATTATAGGCGTGAGTCACCACTCCTGACCTTTATTCCTTTCTGATACACACTCATATTCTTGTCAGACAAGGGACCTGTAAGAATAGTGCTTGGTTCAGCCACCCATTTCTCCACCAGGGCAATTCCCTGAAAGCACCCCTTGGGTTTAGATTTTCATGTCACAGGGACTCTAGTGGCCCACTTTAGGGGCCTGCTTGTTCTTGTGCACCCTCTGCTGTCTTGGATAGAGCTGTCATACCTTGATTGAAGTTCTGAGTCCATCACTAACTAGGTTCTTGGCCAAGTTTCTTCCCTTTTCTAAACTCTACTTCCTTATCTGTAGAATGAGGCTCTAATAACATGCACCTCAAAATCTAGTTGTACAAATTACATGAGATATTTAAGCACTTGGTACTGTAGCTCACCTATTGGAAGCTCATTCCTCTTACCTGCTGCTCACTGTTTGCACCTGGCTTTCTACTGTTGTCCTTGAGTCCTCCTTCCCTAGGATGAACTGAGTTGAGAACTTTTTTCTTTTTATTTCTTTTAGAGACAGAGCCTTGCTCTGTCACCAAGGCTGGAGTGTAGTGGCATGATCATAGCTCACTGCAGCCTCAAACTCCTTTATTCAAGCAATCTTCCTGCCTCAGCCTCCTGAGTAGCTGGGATTATAGACGTGAGCCACTGTGCCCGGCATGAATGGAGAGTTTCTGTTCCTTGCCTGAGTGAGATTTATTTTCCTTGTCTACTCTCGGATATTGGCATCAGTCAGGTTTTCCTTTATTTAATCAATATTGATTCAAGCACTAAGAAAGGAATTATGTTTACAATTTGGTTCCTGCATTGGACTATATTACTATCTGCAGGGCAGACTGTAAACCTGCTTAGACCAACTATACACAGTCCTTTGGTATTGACTTAGCATCTTTCCAGATTTGAGATGTGATGGTACCATCCACCTTGTTTGCTTCTTATTCACATTAGGGACTAGGTTTCTCTGGTCACGCCCTCCAAGGGTATTTTTGGGTCTTTTCCATTTTTTGGAGGCAAACAGGAAGAAGTAATTTTCATTTGTCTAATAGTATCTCTAGGAAATGGGAAGAGGCTGTGGTCATTTATGGGATTATTGGAATTAGAGCCCTAAGTGTCTTTTCTTTGTGATAATTCTCATTTGTGCACCAAGCAGAGAGAGGTGACTCTAGGCCTCTAGTCCTGGAATGTGGCATGGGGAGAGGGCTGCAGATGGATTGTAAATGAAAAGACCTAGCCACTTATTGACCCTGTGAATAATAAGTGCTTGATTTCCCATTTAGTTCTATCCAGGGGATGGACATTTCATGTGTCCATCAACTTCCCATTTGTAGAACTTCCCAAATTCTCTTGTTGCCTGGTTTCATGATCCACTGGGGTGTTTCCTGTGGCCCATTGAGATGGAGTCCATTCTTGCCATTGATTTGACAGTAAAACAGCTGTGTCAGCTTTGCAGCTCTTCTAAAGGTTTTATAGACTGAAATGGCTTGTTTCTAGTGAGGAGCATGGGTTGATCTTGTGACATGTTGATTTCCAGGGCTCCAAACAGTGCTTTCCACATGCCTGGCACCGTTTGGGTGTGGTAGAGGATCAGAAATCATAGTCCTTGCTCATAGCCACTGTTGCATTTACTTGAGAACAGTAGTAAGTACCTTAGTGAACAGGAGTCTGGGTGTCCCTAAGGGACTATCTAATGAGATGAGTGTAAAGTTACACTCTAACCTTACAGAGGTAAAGTTTAGTTATTACTAATGTTATTATCTAGTGATTAGGTTTTAGGCTCTTCGTGGCCTCAGACCCCCTGCAAGGTTTGTGTGCTGTTATGAGAGGTAAGTCAGGTGAAAGTCAAAAAGGCAAGTAAACAGAACAGGGCAGGTGATTCATTAGTAAAGGGTTTAATAGTGAAAGGTGCATTTCTACGACAGACATATTTCACGCCTGACAGGGTCTTTTAAAATACCCTCAGGGAAGCAACTCATTTGCATGTTAAAGACTCACTGACACCTTATGGAAAACGCCAGCTCCTGTCTATTTAGACACAGTTTGGCTCTTATATCATCTATTTTATGTATTTCAATTTCCACCTCTTTTATTATTGAGGACATTTGCAAGAAAACCGCGTCTTGAGGATTGTGTCTGCTCTGCTGCTCTTTCCCCACCCAGAGGTGGTGTCAAGGGTAGTGGTGGCCTCACTGCATACAGGTGACAGGTGGGAGCTTTGTGTAACGGGAAGAGGGGGTTTGGGGAAGGAAAGGGCTGGGAGCTGGTGTGGAGGTGACAGAGGAGGATGACTATTGAATTATCAGCCAGGGCATTTCACCTAGGGACCTGTATTGTCACTGGCTCTGCATAGGCCTGAGGTGTATAATTTATCCATTCATTGATTCGTTCATTCAGTAAATGCTTTTGGAGCACCTACTGTGTGCTAGGCCAGGATTTGGCAAACTACAACTTGAGGCCAAATCTGGTCATACCCATTACTTTACGTATCCTCTCTGGTTGCCTTGTGCTACATTGCATAGTTCAGTAGTTGCATCGGACATGTTACAGCATGCCAAGCCACAAACAATTACTATATGGCCTTTTATAGAAAAAGTTTGTCTGCAAGGCTCCATGTCTCATGCCTGTAATACCAGCACTTTGGGAGGCTGAGGTGGGAGGATCGCTTGAGCCCAGGAGTTGCGGATTAGCCTAGGCAACATAGGCCCCACCTCTACAAAAATAAAAAAAAAAGCTGGGTATGACTGTGCATGCCTGTAGTCCCAGCTACTTGGGAGGTTGAGGTGGGAGGATCGTTTGAGCCCAGGAGTTTGAGGTTACAGTGAGCTATGATCAGGCTATTGCACTCCAGCCTGAGTGACAGAGTAAGAACTTGTCTTGGAAAAAAGAAAAAAGAAAAAATTTGTTAATCTCTGTTTTAGGCAGAGAGAACAGCAAGTGCAAAACCTCAGAGGCCAGAATGGGCCTGGCATATTTGAGGATTAGCAAGAAGGCTAGTGTAGTTGGAATGGGATGAGTAAAGGGAAAAGTGGCAAGGATGAGACCCTAGAGGAAACTGGGGGTCCGATCACATGAGGCCTTGTAGGCAGTGCCAAGGCCTTGGCTCTCCATCTGCATGAGGTGGGAGCCATTGGAGAATTTAGAGGAGAGGAGTGCCTAGTTGGATTTCAGTTTCCATGTTGACTGGGAAAAAATTCACTCATTCATTCAATTATTTACTAGCAGTTGTCTTGTATTTACCTCCGATTTGATCTTGAGGTCTCTCTTAGGAGAGTGGTCATAAACTCTAGTCCTGCTTTGACAGAAATTCCAGGGGATTTGGTCGTGGATGTTTACAGTGTGTCTTTCGTGAGATAGTTCTTTACCCTGGTGGATGGCCTGATGCCTAAGTGTCCAACTCGTGACCAGGTGTCCTTCCCACAGGAAACTTGTTTATACTGGCAGACGCACTTGTAGCTGTAGACTCCCCTGTGTCCAGCTTATTCCTACTAAGATAGCTGCTCTGTAAGAGATGCCTGGTTAGGAGGGAGTCAGGTTTGGGAGTGCGGGTCAGGTGAGACACAGAGGAGGCAGCGCAACAAAACACATGAAAGAACAGAAGCCTTTCGTTACTCACAGTTCCACGAGAGAGGAGGTGTCTATAAGGGCTAGTGCAAGTCTGGAGGCAGCAGGAGTTCAACCAGTGGGCAGGCTGTGGGAGGAACAGGGAAAAAGAGAGAGATCTGTGACCGAAAGCCTTGTTTTAGGTCCAGAGTGTTACCCAAGTGTGTTTCCCTTGGGGAGTTCTAATGTGTGGGTTTAGGGCAAGCAGACACAAGCTCTATGGAGTTGCACTGTGACTGAGGCGTGGTCACCAAGGCATATCTGCCCAGTCCACACTGGGTGTTGGGGTCAGTGAGGTGAGTTACTTGGTTGTATGAGTGGTCCCTTGGGAGCAGTCACTGGGAGGTGGTTGTATTAATATAGGGCAGGTGTCTGGATCAATCACACAGAAGAACTAGGGGAGGTGGAGAACTGGAAACTCTCAAGGGTTTGATATGCTTCCAGCATGAGTATGTAAAACCTGTATTTAAAAATGGATGGCAACTTAAAATTATTGGAATTCACTACATGTGTTTCTGCATTTATTTATTAACAAATTCTGCCCTTTGTATGTAGTGGAGAAGGCAGATGCGAGACCAGATCATTACAGATAAGCAGTGTGTGATAAGACTAGGGCAGAAAGAATGAGGAATCCAAGCCATTGGCTCATAAAGCATTTCATGGGAAGTGTTGAGGGATTCAGCATGGAGAGAGGTTCTGGGAGATGAAGCTGCAAAGGCGGGCTGGCGTGAGGATGTGGTGGGCCTCGAATGTCTTGCTAGGCAATTTGGAATTTTGGTAGGTGGAGGGGGATGGTATGCGTGCACTTGAGGATGGTGGCGATAACTTGAGTGGCAGAGTGAAAGTTGGTGGGGTGTGGGAAGTCGCTTTGGAATGGGGACCGGTTGAGCAGTTCAGGCAAGAGTTGATGGCCTGCCTCCTCCTCTCTATTGATTGTTCAAGGTTGTGCCAAATCCTGGTCCCTGAGGTGCAAGTTCTCTTCTGCTTTTCAGAGATGAAGAAATGAAGTCTAAAATAAGGAAAAGAAGTCTCATTTATGGAGCATATTAGGCATTATGTTAGAGCAGCATCTCATTTAAGATGATGATGATGATCATTATGAGGCTGGTCCTCTTGAGATGATTACATGGAGGCTCCAAGAGGCTGTGACTTGCCTGTGTGACTGTCACACAGCTGGTGAGCTGTCGAGCCAGGCCTCTGCCCAGGTCCAGAGGCCGGGCTCTTAACCAGCAGGTGCTCTACTGCCTTCTTAACGTAGGCTTCTCTGGGTGCCCTGCAGGAAGGGTCCCTGGGTCGCCCTGATGATCTTGAAGGAGGATGTGTAAGGAGCTGAAGTCACTCAGCCAAATTTAAGTCCTGCTTCTTGGTCTGATTAGGAACCTATGTCTTGGTGGAAACAAAGTAGAGGACTTGCCAGATTATAGGCGTGAGCCACTGGTCCTGGCCTCAAAATAGACTTTAAAAAACATGAAGACAAAGCTTGGGGCCACGTGTGGTGGCTCACACCTGTTATCCTAGCACTTTGGGAGGTTGAGACAGGAGGATCGCTGGAGCCCAGGAGTTTGAGACCAGCTTGAGGAACATAGACCCCTGTCTCTACAAAAACAAACAAAAATGATAAAATTTAAAAAAAAGATGTTTGTAACAATACAAAGGGGAAACAGAGGCAAACAGCAGGGAGGTGATGAGTAAAGACCCATTCTGGAGCATAAGCACACAGGGTGCAGGGTTTGCCCCTGCAGGTGGCCTGGTGGTTTACTTCTCTTGTGTGGTACCTCTCTGGCAGCTGCATTGTGTTCAAGGATTTTAGTCTGATGTAGGATGCTCAGGAATGAAGGAGACCAGCCCATGTGGTGCAGTGGCCCCAGAGAACAACTGCGCAGTCACCTGGTGGACTGAACAGGTGCAAATAGAGCGAGGAAAGGTCGCACTGCCTGACAGTGTGAGTTCAGTTAAACAGATCAAATCAGCAGGTGCACATTGAGTCCCGAACCATAAAGCCCCCACAGGACTGTGAGTGGACGGAGTAACGGTCATGGTGTTTGCCCTCAAGGAGCTTATGGTTGAGACAGGGGGCAGTCTACTCTAACCAAAGTAAATTCTTTGAAAACCAGCCAGATGTGGAGGGCTCCCCTTGACGTTTCTGACCAACTTCCCCCTTTTGACCTGAGCATAGAAGCTACTGATGTCTGCATGTGCATGGTGGGGTAATGATATTTACAAGTAGCAATGGTTAACTTGCTCTTCTGCTTTTCCTCTCTAAAATAGCATCCTTCCCCTCTGCTTTTTTCCTCAGCATTTACTACCAGCTCTGATATTCTAATATTATCTGTCTGCTTATTATCTGTCATCCACTCTAGAGTGTAAGCTCCATGTGGGCAAGGACTTAGGTACAGGGCAGAGAGTGTTTTGTTCACTGTCTGCCCCGTCCCTAGAACAATGTCTGGCACTATTGAAGGAAGAAGGACTTTGGGAATTGACTTGTGCCAGGTACTTAGCTAAACATTTTATGTACATTATCTCATTTTATCCCAACAACTTAGGAGGTAGGTATCATTCTGTTTTACAAATGAAACTGAGGCTCATAGGAATTAAGAAAATGACCCAAGGTCATACAGGCTGTAAGTGACAGAGTTGAGATTTGAATCCCAGTTTAACTAACTATGAAACCCTCAACCGCTACTCATCCTTGATTTTCCTTTCTTCTGCAGGGTCTGGGGACATGGCCAGAAAGGCTTTCAAGCTTGCTTCGTGGACCAGCATGGCTCTTGCTGCTTCTGGCATCTACCTTTACAGTAATAAGTACTTGGACCCTAATGACTTTGGTGCTGTCCGGGTGGGCAGAGCCGTTGCTACGGTAGGTTTTTCTCATTTTGTGGGTAGCAGAGGAACTGCACTATTACTTGCAGGTGTTTAAATGTGTAGCAGATGAACATGCCTGCCACACACGTGTCAGAGCTCCATCTACACAGTTGCACAGGCACGGATATGTACACAGCCTCTGTCATCTTGGAGTTAAATAGAATGGGATTGGATGGGTCTTTGTTCCGAAGCCTTTACCTGTTCAGTTCTGTATTTTATTTTAGTGACAGACTTAGAGGGTCAGCAAATACATGTGGAAGGAACACTTTGCAGCTTTGATTCAATTCTACCAGAAAACTTGGTCTCTCTTCAGTGAGCTAGTATGAACTGTTCCTGAAGCAGGACTTAGACTATCTAGGCCTCAGAGAATTTTGGGAATCCCCTTTGATCCCCACACTGACAGAGAATCTGAGCTGAATATTTGACATTCAGAGATTCTCTCTAGTCGCTCAATAGGAACATCATCCTGGTGTGGCCATGTCCTCTTAACCCTGCTGACAGCGACTGTTCCAGACATTCCTACATAATTGCCCCATGGATGGGTAGACGACCACATGCTCCGGGCATTCTTTCCTCTTTTATCTGCTGCAGGATGAATTCATCCTTTCTCCCCCTTGGTGTAGATTCACTCTGACGTAGTCTGTTCTGGTTGTTGTTTCACCATTTCCTTAATTCTCAGTGTTGTCAGGGTTCTTCAAGCCTGGCTCAGAGGGTGCCTGTCCTCAAGGGTGAGCTGAATCATAGAATCAAGATAGACAAATGGACTTTGGATAAACAGCCTGTAAACATTTAAATAATTCCCAAGTATTTACCAAGTGCCTTTTTTGGGGGGCCCAGCATTGTCTTTTATGCTTTGAGGGGTAGAAATGAAGTATCCCACCTAGACCCAGCTTTGAGCTTCTTGGTAAGGAGTGCACACATAAATGGGTTAAAAACAATCTGAATCTGTGCATTGTGTTGGGATGACTGCTGCTATGGTCAGACACAGGTGTGAGCACCGTGACCTGGGGGTTAGGATGAGTATTCTAGGGGAAGCAGAGTTTGAATGGAACCTTAGAGATGTGAATAGTTGGAATGGAGGGAGGAAGTTACTACCCAGTGCTTTAGAAACCAGCCACTAAGCTGTCTGTTCTTCAAAGGCCATCCTCTGGTCTTGCTCATCCTTGAACACTGCTCTGTGATCAGGTCTTGCCCGTGGTTGGTGTTCAGCAAGTATAAGTTGAATGAAATAAAACTTTGGGGCGTATAGACAAAGGAACGGACTCTTCTTAATATCAACTTTGTAAGCCCATTAATATCTATGGTACCTATTTGCTCAATTCTGAAAACAAAGGTTTGGGCTAGATAATCCCTAAGGCCTCTCTGTGCCTGAGATATCTTAGAGCCTGTAATGTTTTAATGCACCAAGGATAAAGGGACCTCTTTGGGAGTTTTGGCTAGTAGAGCAAACATAAATATAAAATAATGTTTATTTGCGATACAGAGAAGGGGGATAAGTTTGTCCAAGAGCATTCATTAAACTAGTGTTTATCGAACATTTATCTATGTAGCTGGCAGTGTAAAAGGTGCTGGGGGTTCCATGATGAACAAAGAGGACACACACCCTTGTGCTTCTAGAGCTTAGATTCTATTGAGGATAAGATGATCCCATATACAAGGAAACACATGAGTGAGATAATTTTGGATGGTGATTTGTTATGATACGTAATTGAGAGTTCTTGCCTGGGGAGGGGGGTTGGGCCTCTCTACAGAGGTGGGATTTGTGCAGAACCTTGAATGCTAGGATTATTAGCCAGGCTAATAATCTGGGGGCAGAGAATCTCAGGAGTGGGACTGGCCACTCCCCCAGACATAGCAGCTTGAGACACAGGCCTGCAGCTGCAGGGCTTGGGCAGAGTATAATATTGAGTAATATTATACTTGAAGTCTGTTGTGCTGAACTTTTCCCTCCCTTGGTTCACAGACAGCTGTCATCAGTTATGACTACCTCACCTCTCTGAGGAGTGTCCCCTATGGCTCAGAGGAATACCTGAAGTTGCGATCCAAGGTAAGGGACCAATGGGACCCATCTGGGCCAGGCCAGGACCGGGTGAGTCCTGAAGCGGCTGCACGGCTGGCAAGCTTCCTGTGTGCAGCTGGAGGTGGATGGAGGCAGTGTGGGGGCCTGAGGCCGGGGCCATTGGCCATCAGGGGTCTGGAAGGAAGGAGAGGAGGACCACTTCCTCCTCCACGTGGAGATGGGCGGGGGCGGTGAGATGGGCATCAAGCTGGAACCCATAGTACTGAGGTTATTAATCTATGAGGTGCTGTTGGGGAGGCCAGTGTTTCTGGGGGAACAAGTGTCTGGGATGACTCAGGAGGGATGTAGGCTCTGTCCCTGAGACAAGTCAGCTGGCTTCTAAAAGTGCTTTGTCTGGCAAAACCCAACTGAAAGAGGTTAATTGCTTTCTTATCCTCTGAAGGCTATGCTGGGGCCTCTTGCAGGCCTCTGAGTGGAGCTGTCGACCCCAAACTCTCGGTTCTCACTTAGAGCAGGCTAGGTGATGTTGATACTACATTTAGACATCCCAGAGAGTTGGGCCATCGAGCAGGAGGGCATTTCTGTGGAGGTAGGTTGAGTTTGAGGTCAGATGCGGATACCTTTGCCCCCACCCCCAGAGAGAGGTTTGTGATAGAGTGGTATGTCTTTGCTCAGGCAGGTCCCCTCAGCCAGGGTGCTCTTTGCCTTTTAGAAAATGTCTAGTCATCTTTCTGGACTCCGCTCAAACACCCCCTCTGTGATGCTTTCCCTCTCAGTCATCCTACATGGATGGAATAATTAATCTTTAAATCTTTACTTAAACATTTTATTATGGCAATTTCAACCACCCACGAGGGTAGAGAGAACAGTACAGTGAACCTCGGTGGCACTGTCATCCAGCTTCAGAAATTATCAACATTTTGTCCATCTTATTAGTCATCTACTCCCTCCTTTATTCTTTCATTTTTTAATTTTTTTTTTTTTTTTTTGAGACAGAGTCTTGCTTTGTTGCCCAGGCTAGAGTGAGTGCCATCCAGCCTAGCTCACAGCAACCTCAAACTCCTGGGCTGCTGCCTCAGCCTCCCGAGTAGCTGGGACTACAGGCATTCACCACCATGCCCGGCTAATTTTTTCTATATAATTAGTTGACCAATTAATTTCTTTATTCATAGTAGAAACGGGTCTTGCTCCTGCCAGGCTCGTTTCGAACTCCTGACCTTGAGCAATCCGCCCGCCTGCGCTCCAGAGTGCTAGGATTACAGGTGTGAGCCACTACGCCCGGCCTCTTTCATTTTTTAAAATTCATTTATTTATTTGTTATTTTTGCTGAAATACTTAAATGCCAATTTTAGGCACCATATGGTTTCATCTGTCAATACTTCAGTATATATCTCAGATAGATGAGGGCCTTTAAGGAGATATAACCACAATATCGTGGTTGTACCTAACAAAATTTACAATTCCTGAATAATCTCTAATAGTCCATGTTCAGATTTCCTTCACTGTCACCAAAATGTCTTTTTATAGTTAGTTTGTTCGAATCTGGATCCAAACAAGGTGCTTATTTTATGCTTGGGTGATATTTCCTAAATCTTGTAAAAGTCTATAACAGTTCCTCTCTCCCCCCTACTTTTTTTTTTTTTTTAGCTACTTGCTTGTTGAAGAAACCAGATCATTTATCCTGTAGAATTTTCCACATTCAGGATTTGGCTGATTGCATCTTCAAAGTGTTATTTAATGGCAAATACATTTGAATGGTACACAATTCAAAATATATCATATTTGAAACCTACAAAATGACCCCGCTACCCGTGTTCCTCAGGTACCCAGTTTTCCTGCAGGAGGCAATCATTACTTCTCATGTGTCCTTCCAGTGATACCTTCCTATTTGAACTTAATTACTTTATCTTTATTTTTGCCATATTTGATAGTTGGTTACATGTCTTTCTCTCTTTTTAGACTTCCAGTTCCTTTAGATCAGGAAGTGGGTCTTTCTTTTTGGATCTTTTACCATTTACCTCTAGCAATGATGCCCTGGACTGAGTCAATCTAATATTTCTTTCTTTTTTTGTTTTTTTTTGAGACAGAGTCTCACTCTGTTGCCCAGGCTAGAGTGCCATGGTGTCAGCCTAGCTCACAGCAACCTCAAACTCTTGGGCTCAGCCTCCCAAGTAGCTGGGACTACAGGCATGTGCCACCATGCCCAGCTAATTTTTTCTATATATTTTTAGTTGGACAATTAATTTCTTTCTATTTTTAGTAGAGACAGGGTCTCACTCTTGCTCAGGTTGGTCTCGAACTCCTGACCTTGAGCGACCCCCCCACCCCCAGGATTATAGGCATGAGCCACTGCGCCCGGCCGATATTTCAATGCCAGGCTTTTACCTGCTGCCTCCTTGACTTTTGAGAGGGCACAGAAAGAGTACAGGACTACCTGAGTTTGTGCTGCAATTTCTCTCGTGTATAAACTAGAGATGGTTATACTACTTATTCAGAATTTTATAGATAATATCTAAGTTAACACCTTGTGAAATACAATACAGGTATCAAAACTAAGTCAGATGTCTCCTATAAGTTATGCTCCATGAGGACAGAGACTTGGTCTGTGCTGTATATCTCCACGTCTGCAGCACTTACAGCAGTAACCAGGACACAGTAGGTCCTGAATAAAGGTTTGTTGAATGAATGAATGGATGAAATGTTAGTTTTCATGGAGGATCTCAAAGCCCCTGCCTCTGAGACTTATGCCCCCCTGCTTTTCCCTGTCCCCCTTTCTCCATCGGACCAGTGCCATGGACCTTGGAACCCCTCAGAGTGACGTTCTGCAGGGGGGCTCCAGGCCAGGACACAGGGGCAAGGCCTCTGCCTTGGGGAATCTGCAGAGCAGATGGACGATCAGTATCGTGGAGTCAGTTGCCCATCATGTGTAAGTCATCTGAAAGGCAGTGGCGCTGCAGCTCCTGGAGAAGTTGACAGCTTTTGGGGATGCAGTAAGGAAAATGCAGCCTGGCATTTGACAAGAGGGCAGCACGTGGTGGCTGCCACCAGATAACAGGGTGTAGACTGGCCTCTGGAGTTGTGCCTGGGCAGGGGGAGCTGGCTGGCACTAAAGAGCACGAGTAAATACCGCAGGAGTGTTTTCTTCCATCAGAACGCTTATCCCTTCTCGTCAGCAGGGCTGATAAAGGAATGAGTGAAGGGTGAAACATAATTATCTCACCTGTCAAGGCAGCATCTCTAGGTCCCAGAGAATGTCAGAGCCAGGAAACTAGCTCGGCAGGCGGTGACTTCAGGCAGCACTTCCAAGGTTAGCACTGGCAGGCTGGGATCTCAGTGACTCAGCTCTGCATCCAGAGGGCTGGCAGCCAACGTGCAGAAGTGTGTTCTAGAGGCATAGTAGCCCTTTGCTAGGCAACCGAGGGGCTGAGGAGGGGCTCAGGTGCTTTGGAGAACCAGATTCTTGGTGCTCAGGATGCTTATAAACTGAGATTTGTGTGAGCTGGCCTGTACACAGAGTAGAAGGAAGTCATTGCTGGTGTAGACATCTAGGAAATGGGCTAGAAAAGGCAGAATGGTGTTGATTCTGACTAAGGGGTTGGGATGTAGTGGATACTTGTTAATTTTGCAGTTTAAGAGCCATTCTCATTTTGGGAAACAGCATGCAGACTTCCCTTTGGGGAGCTATCCTATCTCAGGTACACTTTGTGAGGTTTGGGTAGGGTTCATTCCACCCTCGTTAGCCAGGCAATCAGTGAAGTCTGTTCTGCTGGCCCTAGAGCTTGATTCAAGGATGGGCACTTGAGCCAGTTCTGGCCAGTGAGCATCAGATGCAGGAATTTTGGGGGGATAGTGGCTCTCTTTTCTGCTGGCTTAGCTGAGAATGTGGGATGTTGGCTTAGAGCTGTTGGCAGCCACCTTGCCACCATGAGGGGAAAGCCCATCTATGAATGGAGCTAGTGTTGCAAAGAGATATGTTATTTGAGTCCCTAGATCTGGCTGAGCCTGAAGCTAGACTACCACTGGGATTTTCACTTACGTCTGCCAGGAATTTCCTTTTTTGCTTAAGGTGGTTTGAATTCAGTTTACTGTTACTTGCATACAGTGAGTCTTGTATACTGAGGATTCTTGAAGAAGCATAAATAGAATTTTGATAGGTCACGGAAGTGCCCATAACTCAAGGGGAGAAATGAAATTCAGAAATTCTAGTACTTAATAAAAGTGAGGAGAGGATTGGATAGAGCTGGGTAGAATTCAAGCCATTGTGGGCCTGGAGCCAGGTCCCCAGACTCCTGGTCCACTGCCAAGCACTGCTTTCCTATCTGCAATGTGGTGGCAGTGGCCTTTGCCCCTGCTCAGTTTGTAAAAATGGAGATGAAAAGCTTAGCTTAATTAGGCATTGTGGGGTGGGTGCAATGGCTCAAGCCTGCGATCCTAGCACTCTGGGAGGCTAAAGAGGGAGGATGGCTTGAGCTCAGGAGTTTGAGACCAGCCTGAGCAAGAGCAAGACCCTATCTCTGTTAAAAAAAAAAAAAAAATAGAAAAATTAACTGGGTGCAGTGGCACCTGTAGTCCCTCCCAGCTACTGAGAAGGCTGAGGCAGAAGAAGTTTGAGTTTGCAGTGAGCTATGATGATGCCACTGCAGTCTAGACCCAGTGACAGAGTGAGACCCTGTCTCAAAAAAAAAAAAAATTAGACATTGTGGATTATTTAAACCAGCTGGAGAGGAGACCCAGGGCACAGGGTCTGCCTTGATAGCTCCTTTTCATTTTAATAAACAAGTTAATGATACTCTATTTTCCTCATTTCTTTAATACATTTACTAATTGGAATTCTTCTGTAAGAAATAGCTGTCCCTTCTCCCCCAGTTATTTAGTTTTTTTTTTGAGACAGAGTCTCGCTTTGTTGCTCAGGCTAGAGTGAGTGCTGTGGCGTCAGCCTAGCTCACAGCAACCTCAAACTCCTGGACTCAAGCGATCCTACTGCCTCAGCCTCCCGAATAGCTGGGACTACAGGCATGTGCCACCAT